CTCCAACGGCATAACCAACACAGGTTTATCATTAAATTAGTGACTAGAGGCACTGAGAAGCTTGAAACCAACATTATTATCAGTCTCAAGAGCAGGATGAAAGAAATTTTTCCCTTTTTCACATATAGAATCATAAAATCATAGAATCATAGGATAGTTAGAGTTGGAAAGGACCTTAAGATCATCTAGTTCCAATTCCCCTGCCATAGGCAGGGATACCTCACACTAAACCATCTCACCCAAGGTTCTGTCCAACCTGGCCTTGAACACCAGCAGGGATGGAGCACTCACAACTTCCTTGGGAAAACCATTGCAGTGCCTCACCACCCTAACAGGAAAGAGCTTCCTCCTTATATCCAATCTAAACTTCTCCTGTTTAAGTTTTAACCCATTACCCCTTGTCCTATCACTACAGTCCCTAATGAAGAGTGCCTCCCCTGCATCCCTATAGGCCCCCTTCAGATATTGGAAGGCTTCTATGAGGTCTCCATGCAACTTTCTCTTCTCCAGACTGAACAGCCCCAACTTTCTCAGCCAGTCTTCATACAGGAGGTGCTCCAGTCCCCTGATCATCCTCGTGGCCCTTCTCTGAATTTGTTCCAACAGTTCCATGTCCTTTTCATGTTGAGGACCCCAGAACTGCACGCAATACTCCAGCTGAGATCTCATAAGAGCAGAGTAGAGTTTTACATATCTGAGGCCACAATGACTTTATTTGAAAGAGAAATGATATTTTGAAACTCCCAATTTCCAGTTTTCTTTTTTTTTTTTCTTTTGGTAATATTTTGTCATCCATTTTGTCTCTGCAGATCTTCATATGCCTCCCATGTCTTTGCTAATCTTTGTGATTTACTGATAATAACAACCCATGCAACCTTAGTGTTCATATTTTATTCAGTCAAAAGCAGTACAGGAACTTGTGTCAATCCTCCCACAGAATGGCTCACTACTAGTCACTCTCTACTCTGATTTATTGTAATTTACTTCCACTTTTCTCTTATTTTTTTAGTTTATTTTTAATCAGTGACAGACTTACCTTTTATATATTACCCATGGGTCTCACATTCTAAAGATGCCATATTATCAGTAAAATTCTTATCTCTGCAGTTAAAACACTTGCTTTCTCATTTCCCTGCTTCAAATTTTATTCCTTTTGGCTCCCCTACTACTTACTGAACACTAAAAAGCACTAAATAAGTAATAAATACTCTGAAATGAAAAAAAATTTTCTCTGGTCTTGTTTCTTTTCAGTTTCCTTCTTGGCTTCTTTTTCTTATTCAAGCCCCAACTTGAAATGAGATGACCCGTTATGATTTTCACCACAAAAGTGGCAAACAATTTTAATCTGCATTAATAATTTCCCTCAGAGAATCATTACCCAATTCCAGACACAAAATTACTACCATTATCAGGATGCCTGGGAAGCACTATCTGCACGGTTGGAGCAGGAGGAATAAAAGTACCTGGAAATCACTTTACCCTTACCCCATCTTGAAGTTCCTTGAAAAAGAAGCTGGTCTGCAAGCTGATATAATTTATACTGACAGAGAGTGGTTCTTACAAGCTTTAATGACAGCGACCTGTTGCCTGTGCTCCCTGGGAAGCGGTATGGTAGTTGGAGGGTCTTATACCTTCCAAGGGTTTTCACCACTAGAGGAATTCTCTTCTGACTAAACCTGTTCTGGCAAAGGTTGCCTTGGGAATCATAAACTGGGGCTATTTCATGGTGGTTCTAACCCAGTCTTTACTGGGTCCATTCCAAACCTCATAGAAAATGATACTCTACATCTTACTGATTCAATCTTCCGTCTGAAACACTTTCAAGTCTTGGAAGGTTATGTGACAGCGGCTTCCATTTTCCTGTCATCTTTCACTTTGTCCCTTTAGTGGGTGGAGTCACTGCATTTTTTGATGTATGCAACACTCCATGTCAACCCATTCCTGGTGTTTGGTTGCCACTCATGTACATGTTATTATTCACACAAATTCTACAAAGAAGTTTCATAGCAAATGCCACCTTCTGTATTTATTTTATTGGGAAAGATTATGTAGATTTAGGGGTTTGTGTAATGAAAGTTGGTTCTGATTTTTCCCCCTGAACAAATATTTCAATTCCTTTTTCTTTTTTTCTGGTTTTGGGTTTCCTTTTTTTTTTCTTTTTTGTCTTCTTGTTTCTACTTCCAGTGTTGGCTTTTGCTTTTCTTTCCACTTGTTCAGTGGCCCAGGCAGTCAGTGATGGGATTTTCCTGTCAACCAACTGATTTATCACCTTCTAGTTCAGCTGTACCTCATAGCTGTGTAGCCTCTTCAGACACAGTTTTGAGTTCTTTATTTTCTTCTGGAAACTCTAATTAGCAGTCACAATTGTGATGAATGGGCTATATTAAATAGTAAGTGCCTGGGTTAAAGGTTTATGCAACAACATGTGGGTACAGTTCTGTAAACAAGTGAATGATTGAGGATACCATATGCATAAAACCTGAGCTGCCGCAGAGAAGAAATGAACTGGGGAAAAAAAACAAATCAAAACAAACAAACAAAAAACCAACCCAAAGCATAATTACGAAATTGGTGAATGATGTGTCATATTTTTTGCTGTCATGTGTTAATATTTGCTCCATTTGATATCCCAGATGTTTAAAGCAGTAGTTAAATCTGTCCTTGTCTGGGCTAACAGAGAAGCTTTTTACAAAAAAGATTTAAAGGTTTACTCCATTTCTAGAGGTTGTTTTTATTACTCCATGATGTTTTTCCCATATTCTGCTGTTCCCTTTCAAGTGTGTTTTCAAAAATTTACTTGTTTGCAAGCTGAGAAACGAAGGATATTTAATAGCATTCAAATAAGACATTCCCTTCTGTGTTTCAAATTTTGCTTTGGAAGAGGCACATAAAATAATTTCAGAAACAAACATTTTTTTATACGTAACTTAGTTTTGTAAAATTAAAGTTCACAATATTCTGAAAACATTGTTCCTGAGAGAGAAACATTTCACCACTGCTCTGAGAGTAGTAATTCACAGTGACAAAGGCAGCCAGTATATTTTGTTTGTTTAAAACTGTACATTTTGGAGGAGGAGGGAAAAGTACAAAACACACTTTAAGTGCCTTGAAGTGTTTGTTGTACACAGGAGACTCAGTAGCTAGAATTTGTCTCTGATGAATAATCAGAATATTTTGTCCTTGATATTTCTTGCCCAGAGTAGACCTTATGAATGATGTACATGCACCTTTTGTTGAGCATTTAAAGTACTCAGAAAACAAACATATAGGCTTGCATATTCAGAACCAAAAGGAAGGTACGATTTTAGACTTAAAGATTTTCAGATTCCCATTTCCAGGTCCTCTAGTGGGATCTGGTTTCCAGAAAACAAATGCCCTTCATCTGATGTATAGCTGAGCATACCAGAATAAAAGTACCCCAGATCTGAAAAAGGGAAGGGTAAAACTTCTATTTCAAAACACAGCCCATACCCTCAATTTTCCATTCCATCACTAAGTCTTCCTCTCTGTGCCCCCTCTTTACTTATAATCTGGTGAAATTCCTTTAGTGATGTCATGCTCAGGGAACAAAAGTCTCACTTATAAAAGGATTTTCTTTATTTTTCATAATTTAGCTCAACCAACACAAAAATGAATACTGTAAAACAACAAAAATGATGTAACATCTTTTAATTTTTCTGTGTTTGCTAAATAAGGCTACTATACTCCCTTTAAAATAAATCAAAACAGAGAGTTGGCAGAGTGAGGGTCTGGCTCTTGAGGTCTACATGTACAGCAAATGTATTTACCATCATTTATTGCATGACAGTTTAAACCTGACATTAGTCATTTATAGTGCATTCAGTCCATAACACTTTTTAAGTGGCTGGGCTTTAATTGCTACTTTGACACTGGTCAAAATACTAAGATTAAATAATAATTTTGTATCTATTTATTTTACTTGAGGACAAAATGATCTATAGCTCATGTTTCCTGCAACCTCTGCATTAAATAAGCCTCAGTATTAGAGCAGGCCTTAAAAAATGTCTTGAATCAACTTGTCATTTTTGAACCTTTCACCTATGGTCACTTGAACAATCTCTATATGTTTTTCTTTAGTAGAATAGAACTAGCATAACACTAAAAGTTAATTGGAATATTAGGTAGTATACTTGAAACCATAAAACATTTTCCAGGAAAAAATTAAGCTCCCTTGTTGATTGCAACATACGAATATGTACCAAACTTACATACCAAAAAGGGAACAAAGTTTTGTTTGTTTCTCTGTTTTATCATAATTTCCCCCTCATCTATGCTGTCTTTGCTAAATCTTCACTAACCAATAATGCCAAAAATGTGGGCTTTCTAACAATGAGGTAAAACACTGAAAATGGGATCAAGGAACAGGCTTCAAACTGACTTTTACATAAAAGGGGGGGGGTGGGGTGGGGTGTGAAGAGGGAGGAGAGAAGGGAGAGAGAGAAAGGGAGAATAAGAGAAAGACAGACAGGAAAGGGAAAGAAAAGGAAAAAAAAAAAGAAAGAGAAAATGAAGGATAAGAAGGGAAGGGAAGGGAAGGGAAGGGAAGGGAAGGGAAGGGAAGGGAAGGGAAGGGAAGGGAAGGGAAGGGAAGGGAAGGGAAGGGAAGGGAAGGGAAAGGAAAGGAAAGGAAAGGAAAGGAAAGGAAAGGAAAGGAAAGGAAAGGAAAGGAAAGGAAAGGAAAGGAAAGGAAAGGAAAGGAAAGGAAAGGAAAGGAAAGGAAAGGAAAGGAAAGGAAAGGAAAGGAAAGGAAAGGAAAGGAAAGGAAAGGAAAGGAAAGGAAAGGAAAGGAAAAAGAAAAGAAAAATGGAGAATGAAAAGGGAGAAAAAAAAGAAAAGGAGAAAGAAAAGGAAGAAAGAAAAAAAAGAAAGCAAAAAACCGTGCTATGAAGAGCAATGAGTAAAATATTTTACACTCTATTTTTATCAGTACATAAAGACCAAAAATAAAAATAAAATAAAAAAATGACTTCCAACAGTGCAATGGTTGAATGCATTTATGTAATATAAACAACATTATTCTTTGCTTTTTCTACACAGTCTTCTCTGGTCATGCTTTACATCCAGAATGTCCCAATGGAAGAAAGCAAACGATACCAGTCACTTCAGAGACAACTGAAGTAATAAAACACAACTTAACTCTGAACCACTTGTCATGACTGTCAGAGTTATCACGTTAATTGTTAAATAGGATTTTCTACAAATATACAACATATAAAAACTGTTAAATATATAACTTTAGGCTTTTCAAAATACATTTAATGATCTCTTTCAAACAAGTGTTACTTTTTGTTTTCTCTTTAATTTGCTTTCTGGTGCTAAATGGTGTTTCAGATGAGACATAGGCCACAGATGACCAAACATGCTCTTTGCAAATACTGTATTATTCAACTTTAACTATCAAAAATGGAACTGTAGAAGAGGCATGTTTAACTGGTTAAAACTGAAAATGATTTTAGTACGAGAAAGTCAATCTAAGTACAGAGGAATAAAGGTGCCGTGTAGACAGTTTGTGTTCTTTTTGTCCAAGTTTTTCAAACTCAGTGCTCCATTATGTTCTCTTGAACGTGGCATTTCAAGAGTAGGTCTCTGAGTTAGTTTTTACTGCAGTTTTCCATAAAGACTTCTGCTGAACAACATCTCAGCTTTGTGAAATCTGGAATCATGTCTTTGTGGAGACCTCCTACAATTTAATGACATAACTCTGTTAACAGTAAGATTGTGTCCACTTTAAAATAGATTTTGCTCTTTGGTCTATTGTATATACTGAAAGTATAAGAAAATAAAAGCAATTCAGACAGTTTAGGGCACAAGAAGAGTTTCTCTTTTGCACCTCAGTGTCCTCCCATAGGCAAAACAGTCTTCTCTAAGGCTGACTGGGATGATACTCTTCATTGTAGCAGACTCTTCGAATTAAAACATGTAGGTAACAGCAAGTCCAGCAGTGGTGTATAACGCAGATGAAACGTTAACCATGAACTTTTTTGTATTGCTAATGCCCAAGCATATCTCTTTTTCTAGATTCCTTAGTTCCGTGATCCTTAATATGGTAGAACAAACTTTAGCTCTTAATGTAGAGGAATTATGCTGTCATTCATGAGATACAGAGAAACAGACAGTTGAGTTGATGACATATAACAAATGATGATCAACAGCAGTGAAACTTGACTAAGTAGCTCACACAGAGCCTAAACCACTCCTACGAGGATTCTGTGTTGCTGCATTTGTCAGGAGACCTGTAAATCAATAAGAACAAATGAGTCAGTGTCTTAAGTTAAAATCCTGGTTATCTTTGCTGTCCATTATTTTCAAATATACTGTACTGAGATTAATGAATTAACAGCTACTGAATTAGAAGATATTTTTCACAGCAAACATTTCTCCTGAGAAACAACATATGAACAAACCTATATTTTAATTTGTTATAAATATTTATCATTTTAATAATTATTTCTAATAAACTCATGAATAAAAATGATAATTTACAATAATTTCAATGCCACAGATCTTCTACTAAGCTCCATGCACATTCCTTTTTATAAAAATAATATCACAGAATGTTCTTTTACCTGCATTAAAGTTACATATAACAATATCTAATACACATGGCAATAAAAATGACTATTTACTTTTCATGTATGGGATATGATGAAAAATGGATGTGAAAGCCACGACCATTTATTAAAAAAGCAAGGATGCTTGTACTGGAGGCTTTTCTGCACATAAATTTCCAATGAGCAGTAGAGTGCGCCTAATTTAATCAATACTGCCCTCTAGCGATGCTATTACAAGTGCAAATTAATGTAAAAAATGTTTATTAATAGTCGATTTAATTATAAAATTGTTTTAGTAGCACAGCAATAAAAAAAAAACAAAAAAAAAACAACAAAAACGAACCCAAACCCTAACAAAACCCCACAAAACAATGGAATGGGTAAAGGACTGCCTGATGAACCTGTTTAAAATAAAAATGGAATGAAAACAGAGGTTTAAAAGAGAAACAGAACAAAGTTCACACTATTAAAGAAAACAAGAGTACTGGATGACAGCTCAAACACAAATGAGAAAGTGATGACTGATTTTATACAGCAAGGAGCCAGCTACTCATGCTCACCCAAAATAACAGTTTAGAAATGGTTTCAAAATTACACAGATATTGTACAAGACAAAATGTTTTGAGATGTATTAAGCAAGCATGATGGTTACAAAATGTGGTTTGAATGCTCAAACACTATCTTCTGCTTTGGCATTGTTCTGTCTCCAAACAGTCAGAACTGTTTACTGATGGAAATACCATGCATAACTCCAGAAAATATTGAACAGTGAATGTGAAAGAATAAAACAAATAAGAAAATACAGTTCACTTGGTTCAAGCCGTGTATCAGATTTAGAGTTTTTCATCCAACCCTCAGAGCATTAAATGAAAGAAATACCTGCCTCCAAATCAATTTAGTGACAGCTTGAAACATATGGATCTCTCTACATGTATGTGGAAAGATAGAAAGATAGATAGACATACAGACAGAGATAGACAAATACTTTCCTTATAAGGCATAAAGTGTATGTCACATATTTCTGCTTTTGTCCTCTCACCTTTTCCAGGAAAAAACACCCCAGAAATCTTGCAAACAGCCTTTCCTTTTCGGACTAGTGATCAGATCTCCAAACCACATGGCCTCAGACAGGCTGAAGGCAAAAAACCTGGTTGATTATTGTGGTATATTCCCCTTTTTAAATATACTTTCAGCAAGAGAAATTAAAGTTTTGCTTCTATTAATTTTTCTGTTTCCCCTTTATACTCTTTCTTGGGGTTTCCACTATGCCCCCTATTTCTCTTCCCATTAGAAAAGAACACAACTTTAAAGGTAGTCATATTTTTTATCCAGCAAGACACAAACCGAAAGATTTATGGTTTATTACATTTGAAAGTAAACTACTATTGTATTAAGAATTAGGCTGAGTTAGCTCCATCTTTCCTGAATTATGCTGGAGTGGCCTAAAGCTAAAAGCAGCTGCGTAAACTGCTGACGGACTGTGTGTTCGGTGTTTTCACAGTGTGCTTCTGTACCAATATTGGTCCCAAGATGGAGAGAGAATTCAGGTACAACCACATTCATTTGCAGATACCTGCTGCTTTGTCATTTTATGGATATAAAAGCTTCCTTCCTGACTTGCTATCCCTGTCTCTACTTCACACATCCCTGCTGCGTGAATATGGTATCAACACTTTAAAAGAAGGAGAGAAGAGGGGAGACAATTATGCATTTTAAAAATGCTGAGGCAGGGCAGAGAGCAAGTTTGAAATAAAGTGATGACAGGAAGAGGAACAGATTAGAGAACAGGATGTGAATTTACAACTTTGGACAATGACAGAAGAAAATAGAATGGGGGGGGGGTGTGTGGAAGAGAAGGCATAGGTTAGCTAGGGAAGTTGAAACACCATTTATGAAGGCATGGAAAACACCATGATGAAGGCATGAAAAAGAGGTAAGGTAGGTAATAGGAACAAATGACAGAAAGAAGACAAAGGATAGAAGAGAGCATGAAGAGTCCAGTGAAGAGAAAATGTACACCTACCCTCCCACCTCCTGTTTTTTTCCCTTGTATTCCTCATTATAGATAAATTAATCACTCCCCAGAAAACCAGGCAGATTAAGCAAGAGAAAAGAAAGATTATCAAAATGACCATAAAAGGGACTTCTTTATTATTTATACTAAAAGTTCAAAACATAAAATAGAATCATACAATTGTTTAGGTTGGAGAAGATCTTTAAGATCAAGTCCAACTGTTAACCTAAGACTGCCAAGTCCACCAACTAAATCATATCCCTAGGTGCCACATCTACACATCTATACTTCCAGGGATGCTGACTCCACAGCTTCCCTGGGCAGCCTGTTCCAGTGCTTGACAACAGTTTCATTGAAGAAATTTTTCCTAATGTCTTATCTAAACCCGTCCTGGCACAACTTGCGTTCATTTCCCTTTGTCCTAACCCTCATAACTTGGGAGAAGAGCCCAACACCCACCTCACTACAATCTCCTTTCAGGTGGTTGTAGAGAGCAATAACGTCCCACTTGACCTTCTTTTTCTCCAGGCTAAAAAAACCCAGTTCCCTCAGCTGCTTATCACAGAACTTGCTCTCTAGACCCTTCACCAGCTTCACTGTCCTTTGGACATGATCCAGCACCTCAGCCATGAGCACCCAATTTCTCCAGGGGAATGCTGTGGGAAATAGTGTCAAAGGCTTTAGTAAAGCCTGCATAGACAACATCTACAGCCTTTCTTCATCTAGTAAAGGGGTCGCCTTGTCATAGAAGGACACCAGGTTAATCAACCAGGACTTGCCTTTCGTAAACCCATGCTGACTGGGCTTGATCACCAGGTTGTCCGGTACAGACTGTGAAGACACACAAGAGGATCTGCTCCATAACCTTCCCCTGCACAGAGGTCAGGCTGACTCGCCTATAGTTCCCCAGACCCTCCTTACAGCCCTTCTTGTGGATGAGTGTCACATTTGCTAACCTCCAGTCAACTGGGACTGCCACGGTTAGCCAGGACTGCTGAGAAATAATGGGAAGTGGCTCGGTTAGGCTCTCTGCCAGCTCGTTCAGTACCCTTTGTTTCTTTTTTTCCCTTCACTTAGGAAATTTGCAGCAGCATCAAATTAAAGAGTCCCGGTACTGATCGCTTACTACAAGATTTTCTTTTCTGTCCATTTCTACACAGGACTCATGGCAGTTCTAGGTTGCCATTAGGTACCATTGCACAAGTCTTTTTTTTTTTTACTGACTTCAATGAAGTCAGAATTTCTCCCCTGTGCTTTAGACCGTAGGTTCAGTTACTTCTCAAGGAGTCAGATGTTCTGGCTATGTGTCTGGAGAACTCTTGATCTTGTTCAACTTTGAGAGATTGAGTGAGCGTCTAGTACTAGAGACTAAAATATTACCATATGTCATCTGATTTTTTTATGTGATGGAAGCCCAAGTTCCTGTGTGCTCCACAGAATTCTGTTCAAGCGGAAAAATGACTGCATATTAATAGATAATCCAAAGCATAAGAAACAATGCATTTCATATGACCATATATATCTTATAATTTTTGAATGGCTTGAATATGTCCTAAGAGTGTTTACACAATTGTTACATAGTCCACTTGATTCCTCGTATTCTGGAGGGAGTAGAATAACGATGAATACCATTATCTCCAACTGTGCCCTAATGGCAAATAAAGTAATTTACTGTTTCATTCCTATGAGTCAAAGACAGACAAAACATTATTCAAGCCACCCTGAGGAACTGGGAATATGTGGTGATTTTCTGACAGGATTTCCACCAAAAGAAACTCACTCAAAACCCTCTGTCTGTCCTTCAGTGTGGTATGATTTAATTCAGTGACAGAATGTTTTAATTTCTCACCACAAACCAGAAAACTGAACCAGACTTACTGTAACTGGCAAATATTTTCAGAGTTAGGACTGAGTTTCAAGTACATCTTGCCTGACCTTTTATTTTAAATGGAACCTGCATAAAAACCAACAATACCATGTCAAGCCCGGCAAAGCCTTAGCAGTTTCATCTGGTTTCCACTCCATTTTTTGAACAAAAATGAAAGTCAGAGTGAACCAAAGTCATTATTTTTGCTACAGTAGCCAAGTGCTTTTACATGATTGCCTGTTGAAGTTACATTGACACTTTATGATGACAACTCTGAACTATCTATCATGTTTGCAGCACTGATTTCTGGAAATTTTCTCGATGCCTACAGAGAAATTGGTCATATTAAAGAGATTTCAGTGTTGCTTTACAGATGAACTACTTGTCTGAAGTGTGGATTGTGCACTTTCAACTACGGTCTTAAAAATTACCTCTGTGAGTCTTAGGATTCTGTATGGCACACATCAATGTAAATGGCTTTTGGTTTTGGCTTAGGGTTTTTTGTACAAAGTTAGAGATGGATGTAGGTTGGGCCAGTCTCTGCCTCACAAACCTACTCATAAAGGAAACAGTTCCAAACCTTTTTACCAGCTGATGGCAAGTCAGATAAAGCAACATGTCTTTCCCCTCTGCTTCTGCAGCTGTCTCTTCTAGGTCTCTGAATAACGAAGCATGTATAATGCAGGAAGAATGATATAAAAGCATTAAAATGCCCAAGGAAAACCTTATGCTACCTTGCAAGATACCTCATGCTTTATGGGAATAAAAATGTAAATTCCTGGTGATGATCCAAGCAGTAGCAATGACCTGTTGTATTTATGAGAACTCTCACAGTCCCTCCTGAAAATTTATTCTGTTTTTCTCCTTTTTTCTCCCTTTCTCCATGCTGTTCATATATGCAAATTGAACTGTTTAGTCTTCAGGAAAATACAAGTTAATCTAACTTTAAAGTGTCTGCAGCTACTAAGAATAAGATAAAGAAGCATGGACGCTCCTATACTTAGTAGTGCTGTATTCTGACTCACTGAGCTAGCCATGCTCTTCAAGTTGTAATACCTGCAGAACTAGGAAAAATAACATTGATCAAATTCAGTGTCTGTGCTTGGGTGAATGTTTATAAAAAGCAGCCTAGTGTATTACGTACAAAGATAATACCTTGCTGTGCTGCACTCCACCAAAGCAGCATTCATGAGTTACAGACAACAGAATCCAATCACTAGCCACCTTCTAGAACATGCCCTTTCTTAACATCCACTATCTGGACTGGACTTTTTTTATCACTTCTACTATTCAAGTCAAGCACAGAAAGAAGTATTTATTCCAACTCTGAGACTCTTTGCAAATGAGATTTTTTTTTTCCAATAACAATTATTTTGATATTAATGATCTGTCCAGAACGAACACCAAAAAGTGCCATTTCCCCTTAAATAACACTCCCAGCCCTATCTTCTCAATTTGCCCTGACCACCTGCCAGGACTATCATTTTGATTATTCATTTCCTTTTCTATCAAAATCCTGTTTCTCTCATGCTACCTTTTTGAACTCACAAGATCTTGGAATGTTCTAGGTCAGATCATACATTCCTCCTTTCTTCTGAATTGCCCATTCCTACATAAGCAATACTAGAGAAGGCAGTGGGACTGTTCTTATAACTAGATAATCCTTACAATGAATGAAACTGTTAGAACAAAGTGTTGTAACTCAGCTGACCATAGGTCATGTAGGTGACCTGTGTTTAAGAGCTCAGCCTTAGGCATATATAATAATACAAGCTTGCTTTTCAGCATCTGAACATATGCTAAGAAAAAGCAATGGAGGTGGCAGAAGAGGTGGCAGCAAGAATATCTGTGCTCAGAACATTCAAAGCTGATGAGCACAAAGGTGATCATGGAGTAGCATTTAGAGCTGTTGTGGATCAGACAGGTCTCATTCTGCCCCCATGAAAGTCTAAAGCTAGCTCCTTGAAGTAATATGGATAGAAAGAGGGTATGATGAAGAGGATCACATATTTTGCAAGGCATAACAATGCAAACCAGAGTGTCTTAATCTCTAATGTGCTGGGTAAAAGCAAACACACTTAAAACAACACTACTAAAAGGCCTTGAGCAAGTAACCCAATTGTATCTGATTTCTCTTTGCTTTGGTTAGAGGTGTACACCTAGATGAAGTTTAGCACCAGGTAAAAAACTAAGAAAGGTTTGTAACTGGCACAGAATTGTAAACTTGAGAAATGACTACTTACTTTTCTCC